TTTTGTCCCCCTCCCTGGTTTGAAATTATTTTTGTTTCCCTTTCCTTATGTTCATCTGTTTTGTCTCTTAAAGTCTTCATACGAGTGAAGTCATAGGATATCTGTCTTTCTCTGACTAATTTCACTTAGCGTAATACCCTCTGGTTCCATCCACGTAGTTGCAGATGGCAAGATTTCATTCTTTGTGATTGCTGAGTATTGATATTTTTCATAGTGATTAATTTCAAAATTGTTCCTTTTCTTCTCATGTGAAATTTCGGTTTTGCTGCCGACAAAATATGCTCATTAGAGATTTGGGAATAGAATGTTTCTTCAAGTGTTCACAGTGCTACTATCAGAGACAGTCTCCTTTAAACACTTTAGCGTATTTCCCACTGTCTTTTTTCCTAAACCTAGTTTTTGTCTTTTTAAAATATCCTTGCTTAATTTTAAAATGTCAGAAGAAAACCTTTAGATTTTAGTATTAAGTATTGAATATCCTGATTATTAATTTTCTGTGTCTAGTCTGGCATTTATATCATTGAGGAAAAGGTGGACTGTCAATGAGTTGTTTTGGAGCATTTGGGAAGCAATTTAGAAGAGGAATCCTGAAGCTTGGATTGCTTTCATTACACCAAAACAAACCCCAGAGAAATGAAGGATTAAAATGTAAAAATTATAAAAGCCGCTAAAACAACAACAACAACAACTTGAGTATTTTAATTTTGTGGTAGGGAAGACTTGATCAAACCAAGAAGCATAGAGTTTAGAAAAGGTGACTAGAGGCGCCTGGGTGGCTCAGTCACTTAAACATCTGACTCTTGATTTCATCTCAGGTCATGATCTTGTGGTGAGATGGAGCCCCAAGGTGAGCTCCGTACTGGGCTTGGAGCCTGCTTCAGGTTCTCTCTTTCTCGGGGCGCCTGGGGGGCTCAGTCTGTTGAGCGGCCAACTTTGGCTCAGGCCATGATCTCGCCATCTGCGTTCGAGCCCCGTGTCAGGCTCTGTGCTGACGGCTCAGAGCCTGGAGCCTGCTTCGGATTCTGTCTCCCTCTCTCTCCATCCCTCCCCTGCTCGTACCTCTGTCTCTCACTCTCTCTCAAAAGAAAATAAACATTAAAAAGAATATATTAAAAAAAAAAAAGATTCTCTCTCTCCCTCTGCCCTTCTCCCACTCACACACTCTGTCTTTAAAGATAAGTAAAAATTTTAAAAAGATGACTAAATTCAACCACGTAAAAACGTGAAACATTAAAAACATAACACACACGGGGCGCCTGGGTGGCTCAGTTGGTTAAGCGTCCGACTTCAGCTCAGGTCGTGATCTCGTGGTCCATGAGTTCAAGCCCCGCGTCAGGCTCTGTGCTGACAGCTCAGAGCCTGGAGCCTGTTTCGGATTTTGTGTCTCCCTCTCTCTGACCCTCCCCTGTTCATGCTCTGTCTCTGTCTCAAAAATAAATAAACGTTAAAAAAATTAAAAAACAACAACAACACACACACACACACACACACACACACACACACACACACACACACACACACACACACTGAACCAGGTCACAAGACAGATGACCCAATGACATTGTGGGTAATATTTGAAACAGACATGACCCAAGTTTTCTGCAGCATACTAACAGGTAACCAGTAGGAACAATGTCTGTAACCAAGTGAAAAAGTGAAAAGAACATAAAGAAGCAGAATACAGGATACAAATGCCTAACTAGCATGAGGAGAAAGACGCTCAGCCATAGTGATACATTTTTTTAAATGTTTATTTTGGCAGAGTGCGTGGGTGTGGACGTGCAGGTGCCAGCAGAGGAGAGAGAGCGAGAGAGAATCCCAAGCAGGCTCGCACTCAGCACAAACCCAGCGTGGGGCTTGATCCCACAACCTGGGATCATGACCTGAGCTCAGATCAAGAGTTGGACGCTTAACCGGCCGAGCCATAGTGATGTGTAAAGACATAGGAACTAAAAACAGCGGAGGGGCCCCTGGGTGGCTGGGTTAGACATCCCACTCTGGGCTTCAATTCAGGTCACCGTCTCTCAATCGTGGGATGAAGCGGAGCTCGGAGCCTGCTTTGGATTCTCTCCCTCTACGCCTCTTCCCTGCTTGTGCGTGCATGTGCGCAGACACGCATGCACTTTCTCAAAATAAATTTAAAAAATAAATGAACAGCAGAGACTTAAAGTTTAACAAGCAAAAGCAGGATTTTATGTGTTCTGTTTGATGTATTCTTGCTATTTATTCATTGAATACATTTCTGTTTTAAATGTTTCCACATATACTTTGTTCTTTCCAGTTTCTACATAGTATTTTGTTGTGTGGATGTAATGCACATGATGTTACTAATACATATTTTTTGTCCTTTGCGTTATTGTATCATTTGCCTATAATTATTAAAAGTTGAATCAGAAACGAAGACTAAACAGGCTAACAAAATTGATGTGCACGGTTGGTTTATCACCTGTAAGAAAAGATTTTGAAAGGAAAGGAGCTTACAAAATTTTCAGATGTTTCTTAAATTTCAAATGCCTCGTGAACTTTTCTGTAGGGCCTAGCGGATGTGGTTGCGTGGCTGACGCTTGTGTGGCATGTATCAACAGTAAAACTTGTGGACAAATTTATCTGTGTTCTCAGGTGAATGCTTGAGATGCATGTTCTGGAATAATCTTGGTTGTATCCATTTTGCCATGAGCAAGCACAATTTGGGAATTTTCTACTTTAAAAAGGCCCTCCAGGAGAACGACAATGTTTGTGCACAGCTCAGTGCAGGCAGCACTGATCCAGGTGAGCTCATTGCTGGAAGACAGTTCGTATTTGACCGCCTGAGGAGGGCATGACACTAGAGAGCAGCTGAGCACTGAGGCACGTATACAATTGTCAAATCACTCTATTTATACCTGAAACTAATATAACACCGTACCTGATGTACACTGGAATTTAAAAAATGATAATTTTTTTAAAGAAAAAATAAAAATAAATAGGTAGATGAGAGATCAAGTGGTCCAAATGTATGCCTCATGTGCCTACCTAAAATTAACATTGACCCTTCGCAACAGGTTTGACTCTGGGGATTAGTAGATATTGCTACTTCAAATAACAAGGTGGTAGGAGTAATTATCAAGGAAACCTAAATTACGTTCACTTTTTCATGGATACAGAGATGAGTAATCACGTATGGTAACGTGATAAAGCAAAATAGATTGTGAGAGGTCTCAACTGCTAAGCTGGGTTTTTTTGTTTTGGTTTTTGTTTTAAGTAAGCTCTGCATTCAGTGTGGTGCTTGAACTTGTTACCCAGAGATAGAGAGTCCCGTGCTTTACCAACTGAGGCAGCCAGGCCCTCCTAAACTAGTTTTATTATAGGTTATTTCCAAGGTTTCACATGTGCGGTTATTGGTAGTATCTAACAATCTTTTTGAGCAAATTCCTGAAGTCTTTTATTTAATATCCATACGATACGAATCCTTCACCTGGAATGCTTAAAACCAAGCAGTTATTTACCTTATTGAAATATAAAACTAATTGATGAAAAATGTATCCAAAATTGTAAGTAGTCTTTATTTATTATAGACTGAAACTTTGAAAAAGTTAGCAAAGCATTGTCTTTGTAGGTATAGTATATTAATTTTTATGTTCATAGAAAAGTTGCTAAATCCCCCTAACATTAGCTGCATGTTTCTGGGTAAGAAAGCACATGACGATAAAATGGTTAACCAAACTGAAAGTTTAAAAAAAACAAAAAAAGTGGAATCAGGCCTGAGTGACTCAGTCGGTTAAGCATCCGACTTCGGCTCACGTCATGATCTCGGTTCGTGGTTTGAGCCCTGAATTGGGCTCCGTGATGACAGTATGGAGCTTGCTTGGGATTTTCTCCCTCTTTCTTTTTCTTTCTTTCTTTCTTTCTTTCTTTCTTT